GGGGACCTGGGCGAGGGAGGAGACGGGCCGGCCAGGGCCCCGGCGCTGAGAGCCGGGCGGGGTAGGGCAGAGGGGGCTGGGATCTGGGAGTTTAGGGAGCTGCCTGCCCCGGGGTGGGGATGGGACCCTGAAGGGCGGGCCGAGTAGGCCCCCACCTAGGCCCGCGGGAGCCGCCCCAGGGTGGAGGGCAGGGACCCCCAGGGCCTCTCCCTCCTGAAGAGCCCAGGCTGCGCTTGAGGAAAGCGCTCATCCTGAGAGCGCGGCCAGCAGTCGGTCCCCCGCTGTGAGCAGAGGGGCCGCCCGTCCGCGGGATGCCCGGCGGGGAGGAGGGGCAGGAGGAGGAGCAGGACCGTGAGACGGGCGCCTCAGATGTGCAGGAGGGTCCCCGTGGGGTGGCCGCGATGGCACGTTGGGCCCCCCACACTGGTCAGCGCCGAGGGGGAGTCGGTATTTTCTCCACAAACATTGAGCACCTACTGTGTGCCCGGCCTTGTACTGAGCTTTAGGGTTTCATCGAGTCTGGGGGGCGGGGGAGGAGGGGAGAAAGCAAACTCGGGCGAATTCGTTCATCTTCTCCTGACAGCACCTACATGTTCTGAATTTACCCCTCAGCCTCGCCCCCTGTCCCTCATTAACCATTACTTCTCACAGGTGGCCTGCTGCACCTCCTGCTTCCTTAAATGTTTAATCACTTCCACCTGCATCTTCCAGGTTCCCAGCCCAAGAGCAACTCCTAAAAGCGGGAATGGAGCTTTTTACTACCTTTTTAGTTTCCCTCGTCTGTCCCATGGCTGATATCAGTCAAAAGTATCAATTACTCGTTGTCTAAACTTCTAAACTCTTTACCCCTGATTATCCTGTCTTACAATCTGTTCAATTCCACGAGTTTCGGATCCTTGAGAGGAGCCAGTCACAACTAGAGAAATTCTCCATATCTCCCCCACCCCACCCCACCCCTGCAGAATAAGTCGAGATTTCTTCCTCAAACTTGGCGGACGTGGCGGGAGCTGGTCCCCAGAGAAGAGGAGGCTGGGGGCCCCTCGGAGGAGACCGTGGAGGACCTGCTGGACCTGGTCTGCAGCCCCCAGTCGCCCTGGGCTCTGCTGGAGGGCTCCAGTGCGGAGGACCTGTTCCTCAGGCAGCTGGCCATCCGGAAGCCCCAGATGCTCAAAGAGGACTTCCTGTACTCCTACTTCAGGTCCCTCCAGGTGGTGGACAAAGAGGTGAGTGCTGGCAGCTGGCACCTGCACGCTGGCATACAGAGGGGACAGAGGAGACGCCAGGAGACCACCCTCCTTCCAGCACCTAGTGATAAGATGGGGTGTGAAGTGTGTGGAGGTGGGGATGGGGATAGCTCTGCCCTCCTAATTAATCTCACTGGCTGGCCCACCCCGCAGAGCCAGCTGCTCCCGTGTTGTGTTGTATGCCTTCTTCCTTCACCCCGGCTGAAGTTCACTTGTGGTTCTTAGTTGATTTCCAGAGCACCCTGCAGTCCACCCTTCTGGGTCCTAGTAGAAACCTTCCAAGTGTTTATATTGGTTTTACTTCATTTCAGTTGTGGGGTCCAGGGTCAGGGGAGGGGCATAGTACTATAGTAATTCCTGTCTCTAAAAAGCCTTCTTTGCTTATATCGATAACAGAGCCCAAAGCTTGCATGGCTACACAGCCCAGGACTCCCCATTTGCCCCTCCTTTCCTAGAGAAACTGAATGACACAGTGCTTGGGGGATGAGGAGGGAGAGCAACCTGTTTGCCTGGGACTGGCCCAGTGTTAACGCAGAAATTTTCATGTCCCTGGAACCCCTCACTCCTAGGCAAGCTGGCATGGTCAGTCACCCCAGAGAAGAGGCCTAGCCAGGAAGGCCCCCTAGTGTCTGAGGCCACAGGGAGCTGAGGACGCGGGCAGGCTCAGCAGCTCTGACTCTGCTGTGGGAACACCAGTGACTTCTAAAGACCTTAGGGTTCACCGTGGCTCCAGGGTGCACAGCAAGGATGGATTTCCTGCCCTCAGAGCTTACCGTCCAACAGGGGACACAGGACACTGAGCTGGACACTGTAGGCATCCACAGTCAGAGGAGGGGTGAGGGTGGAAGAGGTGAGGGTCCCCACCATGCCCGACACGCCTGCATCCTGGCAGACGAGGCAGGATAGGCTCTAAGAGCAGAAAGGTGGGTGCTGGGAGGGGGCTCTGTGCAGCTGGTTAAGTGGTGCCATCCTCACATCCACAGGTTTCTGCTCCAGCTGAGCTCTTAGCTTCCTTCCCTTCCTTCCCAGGTGAGCCTGGTGGATAAAGACCTCCTGAAATTCCCAAAGCTTGAAGAGTTGGTACTGAGTGCCAATCAAATCAAGGAGATCGATGCCTTCAATCTGCCACCAACTCTCAAGGTAAAGGAGCCTGCCCCTGCCCTGCCCCATACACAAAATTCTTGGCCCTGTGGCTTTTCTGAGGTGGCTCCGATTCCTCAAAAGTGTAATTTCCATAGATGCAGCAGTTCCCTTCCTAGGTCTGGGCTGAGAGATTTGGAGGCAGGGACTCAGATTCTTCTTCCTCTTCCTCTTCCCCTTCCTCTCCTCCTTCCTCCCCCTCCTCCTCCCTCCCCCTTCTCCTCCTC